CATCTGGCCACAGAAGTCTTGTCTTTACCCTTTTAACTTAACTGAGTGATTTCACTTTAAATTCTCTAAGCATTATTTTTCCTCTTCGATAAAAACTGGGTAACAAACAAAACTGGGCAACAATAATACATGCCTTCTGTACCTCAAAGGGCTAAAGATGGAATCTGATGGAATAATGTGTATGAGAGATGGCTTTGTAGAATAAAAGTACTATAAAAATAGGGGCGCCTGGGTGGCTCAGTAGGTTAAGTGTCTGCCTTCAGCTCAGGTCATGATCCCAGAGTCCGGGGATGGAGTCTGAAATCAGGTCCCTGAGAGTCGAGTCCCTGGGTTGAGCCCCGCATCCAGGTCCCTGCTCAGCAGGGAGTCTGCTTCTCCCTTTGCCCCTCACCCCGCTTGTGCTCTCTTTCTCAAATAAGTAAAATCTTTTTTAAAAAAATAACTTACATGAATTTTGGTGATTCATAAATCACTTTATATGATTTTTGGAGACAGTTTTTTTTTCATATGTAATATAGATTTTTTTTTTTACATAATGTTGCACATTAGTTTGACTATTTTACTAGTTTGCCCCACAGCAGAAGAAATAAAATGAGTGCTCCAGTGAATATCACAACAAGCTATAAGGTTGTTGTTTTTCTTCTTATACATAATAATTAAATGTGCAATGAAGAGTTCTGCTACACATACTTTGATCTCATGTAATAAAAACCAGAACAGGATAGTTATGTGCTTTAATGGTAATATATATTTACATAATCACATGTTTTAAATTTTTCAGCATGATGTTAAATAGGTTAATGTGGCACTAATTTGTCTTTGGCCAAAAAAGGAAAGAAAAGGGGAAAAAAAACTAAACTGCTTAACTTTCTTTTAAGTAGAAAAAAACTATTAGCACTTTCACTATTTTCTATAGTATCTCTCTGCCAACACTCAAACCCATGTAGGAAAAAAGGCAGCTATAACAATGTCTTAAACCACTGTGAAACCAGATATTTTCAAGCTAACTGACTCATTCCTTGGTTAAAAATGCTCCTTCACATTGGACAACAATGGCAGGAAGACAGGACTGAAAACAGGAGTAAACTGAGCAGCACGTTTTCCAGCAGGTCCCCAACTTTGCGGCTCGCAGATTATAACTACACGCTTTGAAAGTGTGTAAGAATCTAAATTTCAGACATTTTAGGGGCTTTCCACAGTACTTCAGAGACAGTGTATACTAGCAGTATCCTATTATCCACTGAAGAGTCTTAATAATGACCTCCAAAGTCATTGAAATCTTCCAGTGCTCTTCCACATCACTAACTGTTCATCACTTATTTCATTATTCTGGTCCTCCCAAGGCTTTTGTGTAACCTGCAATGTCATTCGTGGGACTAACACAAAGCAGCTGGACTTCAAGTTCTCTTTTAAAGCAAAGATCAGAAATGTATTTATGCAGTATGTATATGATCATAAAGAAGAATGTTACTATATGTTAGCTATCAAAATTTAAATTAAAAAATAATAAATAAACAAATAAGAGTGTTTCACTTGGTGGAACTCAAATTACGTAGGAACCTTAAAAAAGGCCTTGAACACTTAACTAAAATCCAAAGAAAAAAATCCAATAGTACCTAGTGAATCTTAAGTTATTTTACTTTTCTTTCATACCTAGGGTTTCAATGGGCATGGTGTATGGATTTTTCTTACACTTCTATTTTACTTTATTTATTTCTAAAGATTTTATTTATTTGAGAGAGAGAAAGCAGGAACAGGGGGAGAGGGAGGCAGAGGAAGAAGCCGACTCCCCACCAAGCAGGGAGCCCGATGCGGGGCTTGATCCCAGGACCCTGGGATCACAACCTGAGCTGAAGGCAGACGCTTAACCCACTGAGCCACCCAGGCGCTCCTGTCTTACACTTTTTAACTTACTCATTCCCCTTCCTCAAAAAAAGGGTACTATTAATTACATGGAACTATAAAATCAACCTTTTTTAGAAAACAACTTTGATGTTAACAATTTTGAAATGTGGCAATATAATCACTAAGTTTAGGAAACTGCACATTAAAGTGTTTGATATTGATTTTCAGGGCTTGCTAAACAACAAGGTTTTGTGTGTGTGTGTGTGTGTGTGTGTAAGTAGAACCCAGTGATATACAGGGAGCAATACTGTAATTTTAAGTTTGCTTTATGGAAACTTAAAAACATTTCATAATTAAAATAAAATCTTAAATGATGAGGCTTTTGACCAGTCCACAACACTTGTTTAAAGAACAAAGCAGTTTAACTGTATTCAGGATTTAACTGCACTCAGGATCTTAAGAGCAGATAAGGGAGGGTGGTGGAAAGAAAGAAGAAAATTTCCTTTTCCTCTTTCTTCTGACCAAAAGCTCAATCTAACTACAGTTGTAAAAATAAGCGGGAGATACAACATTACAATTGGGAACCAGAGTAAAATGGGTCTGGAAAAGTACCTAATCTCCCTGATCCTTAGTTTTCTTTTCCTTTGTAAAGTGACATTCATAGTTCCAGGAGGTTGTTGAGAACATCAAAAATGGTAATGAATGTAAAGCCCCCAGCAGAATGCTCAGCATAAAACAATGAATAAATTTTAGTTACTGATTTCTAGTATTGTGGTCATACTTTCACCTCCTTTTCTGATCCACCACGCATCATGCCAAGCTCACAGTGCCCTCTGGTTTCCTACCGTATGTCCCTCACCTAGATCTGCTCTAACTCCCAAGGTATTTATTTCATGCTTTGAAATTATTATTGCCTTTCCATCACTATGAAACATACAAGAAAAAAGCAGAATTTATTTCTGCTAGATACTGTGAGGAAAGCAATCTGATTAATCCATTAAAATATGTAGGAGCCTTAATCTTCCTCAGGGTATCAGTAGATGTACAAACAACAAGCAATGAAAAAGCAGTATAAAAAAATAAAAATTTTAGGAAATATTCTGGGGAGTTATTTTTATACTGGGCAAGTGCCACATGGTCACACTAACACTGCCGAGGAGCCCACACCTCCCCAACTCTAACTCGGAAGACTCTTGTAAGCCTTTTCTACAGCCTGGAACTCTTCCCCACCCCCCACCCCAACTCTGATTTCAGAGATCCATTCAAACATTTTACTTGAACAAAACCCAAATTTTAGTTGTAGCAACAAAAAGTACTCCACCAGAGAGAGCAAAAGGACAGGAGATGAAAGGAACAGAAAAAGACAAGCGTTAGATAGAAAAGAGGAAGGCAGGAACGATGGGGAGCTGAGGAAATAAAGATAGAGTGGGGGACCCAAGGAGAGGCAAGACAGGGCAGTCCTAAACCATGAATGATGCGAGCGTGCCTCATTCTCAAAGAGAGAACAGGTTAAGCTACGTCTTGAGTCCCTCAGAGAAGTTGGGAATAAAACGTTGCCTGAAAAGTACTGCCGATGTCCACATTATTACGTGGCTGATTGACCTGGGATGGCTCCACAAGAACTGCGACCAGGGGAAATTTCACTCACACAAAGAAGAGTGATTGTTTAACAGTCAGTCTTAATCAGTTAGCAAATATTACAGGACATGTTTAAAAGTCAGTCTTAATCAGTTAGCAAATATTTCAGGACAGTGAATTTCCTTCATGTGGCCACTTCCACAGAATATAAAATCGTCAAATGATTTTAGCCTCACAAATATATTTAGTTTTCTTTTAAGACTTGAAGGACATATTTTCATATTAATTCTGTGAGTTTCTCTATTAACGTTACTGATTTCAGAGGCCAAACTATTTTTCTTTCTAGCTTAATCATCGAATTTTGGAGGAGGGAATAAGTACATTTTTGAAATCTTTTTTTTTTCTACAAAACATAAAAGTTAGTCAAGCATACTAAGAAAAATCTAGACTTAATTGCAATATTGCAACTAGACATACTGGAAAATATGAAACAAAAATCCCAATTCTAAGTCAACTGAATACATTATTGACTCCAAAATCACCGATTAAACAAAAGAAATTATATTTGCATTGATGTGCGAATCTGCATCCATTCTTGGTAGCATGTAATATATTCAACTCCTCAGCTCTAGCTGTCCTTGTAGCCATATTACCATATTATTCAAATGTATCTATCATTTATATGTAAATAGAGAAGATAAATGGCTTCTTCATAAGACAACAATTTTCAAATGATAAACAGACGCAGGCAGACATTAGCAAGATAAAAATGTTGCAAATATGCATTCTATTATATATTTTTTAAAAAAAGCATGGAACCTATTTCAAATTTTTAAAAAAAGTAGTGTGGTAATTTACAAAATGGGATCCTAATACATTCACAATACCAATAGCTACTCTCCTCAATAAAAGTCTCCACCAATGTCATTTGTATTTTATAAATTACATGTTCTCAGATCCATCTGTGAAAATTGGGATGTTAATTATCATGGTTACATCTCATGATTCCACAGTTAAAGGCTGAAGTGGTGCTACATAAATACCATATGTTTTTCTAAGAGAAGCGGAGAAAGATTAATTATGAGTTCAAGTCCAAGTCTTCTAGCAGTAATACTCTCAACACAGTAAGATCATTACATTGTGTGCTATGCAAATTGGAAGTTTTAATTAATAGCTGAAATACGAACTGAGGGAGAAAACTGTGAAGTCTAAATTGTAAGTATCGGGCTTTCCTCCACCCACCCAAAAAGGAAAAAAAAAAATCTTAGTAAGAATGTTTCTGAGAAACCAAGTTATAAGTCCAAAGGAAAAAGAACTTCCTTTGATGGAGCGATCACTGTCATGCTGTTTAATCCTATTTCATAAACCTAAAAATTACAGCATATCCAGTGACAAATAGATTATTAATAGATAATATATCTGATTAAAATTCAGTTTAACATTTTTCTGGATTCTTCAAAATTATACAAACTTACTAGATAAAATACTTTGCTACAGCAACTTAAATAAGAAACTCCATCATAATACTACAAGAATTTTATTTATGTTTATAAAATCTGAATTCTTATTTTACTCACCACATATTCAAACACAAGTGTCAGCGTCTCCTTGGTGTGGATGATGTCGTGAAGCAGCACTATGTTAGCATGTTTTAGTCCTTTTAAGAGAGAAGCTGTAAAACAAAGTAGACAAAGAGACAATGGATAATAATCAACTGATATGTTTCATTATCATTTTGTAGGTAAGATATTTCTTTTCCCATTTTCCAAGCCAATAACTATTCAGAATCAAGGGTAGTGGAAGAGAGTTTTCATTTAGATGAAGGCCCCCCCCCCAATTATTTCACCTGTTATTTGCTGTTAAACTCTAGTTAGATTCCATTATGGCCAGAGGACATACTTGGTATGATTTCAATTGTTTTAAATTTGTTAAGGTTTGTTTCATTACCCAGAATGTGGTTTATCTTGGTATACATGCCATACGTATGGAATATATATTCTGCTGAAATTGGGTGGAGAGTTCTATAAACGCCAATTAGATTCTGTTGGTTGATGATGTCGCTGAGTTCTTCTCTGTACTTGCCGGCTTTCTGAAAAATGGTTCTATCAGTGACCAAGAGAGGGTTGTTGACATCCCCAACTGTAACTGGGGATTTGTCAACTTCATTTGAATTCCGCCAGTTTTTGCTTTATGTGTTTTGCTTTGTGTGTGATGTTTACTGTATATACATTTAGGATTCCTACAGTTTGTTGTGTACAGTTTTCTTTAATTTTGTGGTTGTTTTTTGAAATGCATTTATTTTATATTTTCTGAATTTTTACAGCAGTTTTATACAGATGTGCTTGTTCTAGTCTTATTCATTCAAGGGACTGTGTTCTTAGTTTGAGAGTCCTGTCTTACATCAGTTCTTCTCTCCTCTATGTAGGTATTATGGATGGTACTGGTGGGAGAAAGAGAGAGCGTTTGGGGTGTTCTGTTTCTTTTTCATTTCTACAGGATCCTTAATTTCTCCCTATTCTTTCCTTTTTTACTTTCACTGCCAACTTCAAGGGGTACGATCCTTTCCCTAAATATCTGAATCTCTCCTCCAGCCAGCAGCTTCCAATCCTATTTGCTTTCAATCTTTTCGGTAGTCAGTGCTGTGAACCTCATGGAGTCCCAGTTTTCTCTTTCTGAAGTGATTCTGTCTGGGCTTCATCTAAGTCCTCCATACCCCTCTACTCTTTTACACAGTCTCTTAAACCTGTCCAAAGCTTCCCTTGCACCACTCTGCAACCATAGGCTTGTGGCATCTCCTAATGCTTTTAAAGATGTGGGTCATGTGTGCTTTTATTTGCTCTCCAAAAGTCATAAAATAACCTAGTTAATGGCACTGGTGGCCCTGGACAAATTCTTGATACCCAGTAATACTGCAAAACCACCCACATCTTTACAAAAAGATTTATAACACCAAGCATGAATCCTAATGTAAACCTTGGGTTTTGGGTGACAGTGATGGTCAGTGTAGGTTCATCACTTGTACGGAATGTACCACGCTGGTGAGAGATGTTGATAGTAGGGGAGGCTTAGGGGCAGGGGTGGGGAGGAAGTAGGTGGTGGTAGGCAGGGAGTATATGAGAACTTGCCACTCAATTTTGCTGTGAGCCTAAAACTGCATTAAAAAATAAAGTCTACTAAAAAAGTAAAAATAAAGAAATGCACCCATGTTTTAACATACTTAAAAAAAAGCAAATCTAGATTAATATTTTACTCAAATAAAATGATATTACATATATCATATATCCTATTTTAGATAGGTAATCATCATGCAAGATGGGCTGCACTGGGCATTCCCCAGAAAGGCAGAGAGAAAGCATATAGATAAATTCTAGTATGAGCTCAATGAATGTGAGCAGTTGTTTTATTAGAGCTATTGTTATTGCTAAAATTTTATTTATTTATTTGACAGAGAGAGACACAGCAAGAGAGGGAACACAAGCAGGAGGAGTGGGAGAGGGAGAAGCAGGCTTCCTGCGGAGCAGGGAGCCCGATGTGGGGCTCGATCCCAGGACCCTGGGATCATGACCTGAGCCGAAGGGAGACGCTTAACGACTGAGCCACCCAGGCGCCCCATTACTTCTATGAATTTCTGTAGACTTCTGCAGGCAAAACTGTTTCGGGACCATATACTATGTTCCTTAACTGCAAGACAAACTTTAATAAACATATATTTGGTCCAAAGAAGTTCATCTAGAAAGAGAACTAATTTGTGTAGCTGGTTCCAACACTGGAAGACAACAAGAAGCGTGTTCACCCTGAAACTCAATCAGCAACAGTGTATAGTCCAAGGCCAGACAAGTCCAGGCTACATAGTGAGGCCTCCTCTCCCGTCTCACACAGACCTGCCATGGGCAAGTTAGTTTTATACACTAAAAACCTTATAGCAAAAATATCTAAAAGTTTATTTTACTGGAGCTCTGTAAATTAGCACACATGGGAAAATAATTACAACAATAAAATCACAGCACACGAACTATGAATGAACAACCATCATATAGACTTATGATAGACTTTCGTCTCATTAATTCCAATAATTCATAATCTTCCTTCTTTTAACTATTCAACTGGCCCATCAGCCTTAAACAATTAAAACTTTATTAAATAGTTAGTTTTCAGATATTAATCTGGGGACCAACTTCACATTTGCTCATTTTAAAAAGGACACTTGGCCTGCACTGAACTTTCAAGACAGACTCATCCTCAGAGTTCAATATTTCAAACCACAACAGGGTATTTGAAAATGATGACCAGGTATGGGACTTCACACCCACCAGGTACAGAACGCAGACAGGTGAAATGAATCAAGGGCCTAAAGGATCCCATGTTGTATGAAAGCAACCTGGCTTTGTGAGGCAAGTTTTGGAAATATATTATACAACAGGATTTGTAATCTTGTCCAATTTCATTTTTCAAGTTACCCCCTTAGCCTGTCAAATTCAGTAACGATCCATCCTTATCAGCAACAACCCCAAAAAGGTCCTGAAGCTTCCACTAAATTAAGAATCCCGGGCCCTGAATCCGAAGGGGTATGTGCACCCCAATGTTTATAGCAGCAATGTCCACAATAGCCAAACTGTGGAAAGAGCCAAGA